AACTTCGCAGTACCGACCTGCGGCTTGAGCGTGGTCTCCAAAATGGGACACTGTTGAGATGAGTTGCCCTCCATATAGTTTTATAATGACCTGTGTCGGTCCTGGACCTCAGTAAGGTAGTAGAGGCGTTTGGTCGGGTAGTCACTGACTGCGCTCTAAAGAGAGCGATCCACCGAAAGGGCAGTAGAGTTGTTTTATTGACTCGTGCGCAGTTGAAACAAAGCACTTACAATAAATAAACGCCAGTTTTTGAAAGATCCTGAAGGGTTGTCAGATCCAGCTGCCACCCCATCATCAATAAAATCAGAATTTTGTCGTACACAGATAGAACAATCGATTCATTCTCATACAATACTCATTCAGATCAGTTGAAGATAAGAAAACCAATCACGGAATAACATTGAAAATTACACTAGCATGGCAGGGAATGACAAATGAAAAATTGACAATATGAAAGAACTAAGAATACTAAAACCCGACAATAATTAAAGAAACGAGGAAAATCTCCACAAAAATCAGTGATCCATCACATGGAGCTTGTCGAAATTGCAAGAATGTCAAGGCTACAAGCCTTCCTCTCAAGAATATGAAAACAGAATCTTGGTAATCACACAAAAACTACTCAAAATCTTGGTTGAATGATACAGCAAAAAAAATATTTCCGAGAGCTTTACCAACCAAAGCTATCGTTGCACATTGTAACGCGCTAAGGTAAGTCGTCATCCGGGCAGTTGATTAGGCGGTCAAAGGGTCGCAGACGCGGCTGCGGCGCGTCACGACCGCGGCGATCAGCTGTTTCCAGCCTATTTAGCCATTTTCTCCCTAATTTTCACTGTATTATTTATTTTTTTAAGCAAGGTGAGTGGTTTTGGCCTTTATGGAAATTATAGTAGACGTGGATTTTTTTTTTTCTGCCTTTTTGTAATAAACTGATCTTGCGATTTTTTTGTATTTGTTTATTGCTTGTTTAACTATTTAATTGTTCGCAAACATTATAATAATTTACCTTGTGAAGGATCAACTAACCTTGAGAAAAGCAGCCAAAAACAGTGAAAATTAGGGAGGAAAAAATAGGCTGGAAACAGCTGATCGCCGCGGTCGTGACGCGCCGCAGCCGCGTCTGTGACCCTTTGACCGCCTAATCGAACTGCCAGGATGACGACTGTAGCTGGGTGTAAGGGAAGATTACTAGAACAAAAAAGGCTACACATGTTTCTGTTTGCATGTGTTCGCTCGACTAGAGTTGTTCGGTGAGTTTGGGTGACGCCGATGTGGTTGCAAGCTAGCAGAAAGTGGGCGTGGCTTGGCCTCGCCCGTTGACCCCTAACTACCTTAGCGCCGAAAATATTATGTCCTGATCGTTCTATAACTTATTAGGAAGTGAGACAAATGTTTGGAGAAAGAGTAACAGCACCCTTTAGCAAGACAGGCTAGTCAGAGAAAATTCAAAATAGCGAAACAGGAAACTGACTGGAGCTTATACAAAGGAGGGGTGTCAAAATCGTATTTCAGCGAAAGCTTTCCCACAGGACCTCACTGACTCAAGAAAGTGCTGCAGTATATAAATCAACTAAGAAAATCCGAGTTTCTGCGTGTCAACTACCACTCCCGCGCCGCGTGAATTTTTCGATTGTTGCGCGCGGGGGCTCGTGGAAATTTGTGGTTTTGAAATTGCTGCACTGTCGCTGCCGTCATAGTGAAAGCTACGAGCAGCATCTTTGCGCTACGGAACTTAAAAGCCCCGTTTGGAAAAGGAGAGCAGTGCAAAATCTCGTGCGATGGGGTTCAGTTGACGCCAATGGGATTGCGCCGGCAAACTGGTCAGAAAGTTCCTTGGCAATGCATCTGTGGCCTTTCACAGCACAGTTCTCGCTCTGAAAAACCCATTTATGAAATCTGACCTCCTCGTGAAACCTGAGCTGTTTCGAAGACACAGTCCACGATAACCGCAAGGGAAAGGAGGAAGGAAACTTATTACTACTGATTTCGCTCTTCTTCTAGTACGGTGGAGCGGAAAACGTTTCAGTAAAGAAGGCACAATTGTTTTAATTCTCCACCTACTTGATTAACGCGGATTGTTAGTGCTATCTGACCGTTTGCGTAAATCAATTAGCGCTAATCACCTGGTATCAAAACAAGGAAAAATCCAAACCTAAAACAAGAAATTGAGAAGATATAAGAAACGTGGCAAGAGACTCGCCTGACCAGCGACTGAAGTCAGAATAGTACTGCTGCAGTACAAGGTTAGCAGAACTAATTGCGAAAATGATCATGCCTTAAGAAATAGGCAATCGTCAAAAAAGTACAGTCATTAACCCTGAAAGCGATAGGGCGTGTGACGGGGCGTGAACTTGAACGCTGCTAAAGCGGCCCTTTCCACCATATCAGCATAAGGACGCAACAATTGGCGGGAAGGCTGTTCTGGTTGCAATTTAACTCACGCCCCTTCATACGCCCTATCGTTTGCAGGGATTAGGAATACACGTGCTCTAGACATACACGTCGCGGTCGCGGAAGACAGTATACTCCGCCCGTCGAGATTTATCACAATCCCAGCAAGTTTCGTCGGAAGTGACGGTCTAGAAACGGTTTTTGAGCTAAAGTTAGGCGATGCTCGAGACGCTGACTTTCTGTTGTGAATCTGTTCGTTCCACTGGGGACACAACATCATCCGATGTGTTTGTCCTCCTAATCACCACTACAAAGCATATGGAACCGATGACTAGACTCGTCGACAGCAATATCGTCCAGATTGTCACGGTCATATATGGCGACAGAAATAGAACGATGCACGATGCGATGCACTGAAAAATCACAATAGTCGTTTAGAAAATCGGACAAACAATAATTAATCATCCTTTCCCCCACATAGTTAAAACAAGTTCTAGGCGCAGTTCAGGCTGATTTTGTGAGCGGACTTAAAGGCACCTTCCGCGACTTGCTATCCAAAATGTCGTAGGTGAATTGAACCAGACGTGTTCGTGACAGTTGGCTCCGTCATGAAGAACAAACACAGAGGAATCGGACGAGAGGGTCCTTGATGAGGATTCCCTTGTTCTGCGTCAGAAGCGCGGAAATTTGAGAGAGAGGCGAGAAGGTATGGAAACAAGCAAGACGCCACAAGGTTAGCGGAAGTAAAAGCATTGGAGACAAACATCAGTAATTTCAAGGCATATTCTAAATTTGTTTATTCTTTTCAAAATTTAACTAAGACCCCCTTCCTTGGTACGAGTAAACGTCAGGGGCATGGGGAGTCTTACTGAAGGGCTCTCGATTATTTTCTGCTATTTTCCCCTACACGTATGTCAACTAAAACTTTACGGTTCGTATGAAAGGCAAAATACCTGTCATGTTGCCATCGACCCACCACCTTCCTCCCCCCGCCCCCAATTTCCTTAACGCCTCCGCCTTGCAACTTTCTACGGCGAAATAGTACAAGTCTCTCCATCCTAGCCTACCGAATTGCCTTTGACAGGGCCTCGATTTCTAGTTGTTGCTTGAAGGGCTTGCAAAAAGGAGCGGCTAAAAAGGGTAGACCTGACTCCACCCATACGAACAGCGTGTACTGCGCCCTTATCTAGTGGAACCACTACTCAGTCGGATAAGTTTCTCACTTCCAATGTTTTGAGAATGAAATACGCACCTGGTGAATTCTTGTCAGTGAGAAGACCTCTATGCGATGTTGTGGGACAGCCTTTTGGCAAATCACTGCTCTAGCCATTGTCAACGTGAAATCTGCCAAACCAACAAGGAATCCGAATACACATGCCATTGTCCGACTGAAAAAGGATGTTTATAAGAAAACAAACACTTTAAGATCTCCAGACTGAGTATTGAAGGGTATGAGGACTCATGCCACCGCTCCGGAACTTCTATAGGTCCTGCAAGTGCGGAGGACATGTTCATCTATACGCTATAAAACAAGGAGCACGATAGCTGGGGGCGGGCGGTTGCCGCCAGCATCATTGGAGGAAGAGCTGAGTGGGGTGTGGCCAAACGTCTTTCGCAGCCCTCATACCAAAGACACTGGCAACAACCGCCCGACTACAGCAGTCGCGCCCAGTGCCTTTGAGCGTTGCCGTACTCCTCATATCTTCCCCCTTGGTTTTAGGAAGTTTTGGGTCGGAGGTGGTCACACTAGAGGCTGCGGAAGGACTCAGGTTGAGTGAATAATTCCACTGTCAAAATACCCTGGATTTCAGCCATTTGTGCCATAACTGTCCCTCCCCGGGTACAGTATCGATAAGAGGAGCCCATCAAGGGGTCGTACTTAGCCGTTGGAAGGGGTCGAGCCTGACTGATGGAGTCGTTACTGGCCTTGTCAGAAATTTTCCAAGCGTTCCCCGGTTTTCTCCGTTTCTCCTAATCACCAACACCTAGCTACCAGCGTCACAGAACCCATGCCATACAATTATTGGGGGACGATCTCCCCCTCCCCCTCCTGCTCTGATGCCAGTCAAAAACTTGGAAATTTTTTGGAAAAGCGGGGAAAATGGTAGAAAGGGGAAATACAGTATCATAGTTGAAAAGGGGCGGCCTGGAGGAAGGAACCTTGCGGGTCGTATGGGAAATAAGCTGGGGAAGGGTGATACCTGATACCACCATTTTTCTCATCCCAGTGCTATACCTTGACTCCTGCTGCGCGGTAAAGCCCAGACACATCAAATGTGTATCAGTAATAAAACAGTATGCGCATTTCGGCCAAGGGGGGGGGAGGCATTTTGCACTTTCGCTGCTTTCCATTGATGTATTCATCGCTTTACAAGGGTTGACAGGTATTTTTTACAAGCTTTCACAAGTAGCTTTTCAAAAGTTTGTATGGTATCACCTAAGGGCTCCACAAGATTACACACATCTCTTAATGGCTCGACACGACATTCGGAAGCAGTGAGGCGAAATGCCCCTCCAAGGTGAACTGCTCCAAAAATACTACAGAATCCAACTTACCTTGGTGTGAACCACAACGCATCGGCATGAGTCGGCTCTATAGTTGCCCTTTCTGGAACCGAAAGTTGAAATAGCACTAATGCAACAACGACAGTGACAAAGTGTAGCGCAACGGAGACGATCAACTTGTACGAATGGCACAGTTTGATAAGTGGACGAATAAAGACACCACCTGGAAAAAGAGAGTCAGAAGAACTCCACAAACTTCAGTTCTCACTGCAGACGCTGGGGCCTGTCAGGGGGGAGGAGGCTGGGTTCGGTGCGGCGCCAACCCGTTCTCCGCCAAATGTTGAATGCAAGCGAAATTATTTGCGAAAAAAAGGCTGGCGTCGCACTAAACTCCGCTCTCCCCCCTGACACTCCCTAGAGCTGCACAGATTGCTACTCACCGAAAACTTCTGCCATTCCAGCACAGCAACTGTAAAGTGCGACAATGTAGACGTCTTGAGCTAATGAAGCCGTGAAAGACAGAGATGTTGGATAAATTCCCAAGAAGAATGAGACAAGCAGCCCCATATGAAGGAAAGTGAATGTCAATAGAATCATGTTCGGATGAATGGAGGTCTTCGCCAGTCCCTCTGAAAATATTCTCAGCATATCGCAGCCTGAAAGACCTGGATAAAACTGAGACTCACTTATTTGATCTTTAAAACTCGGTATGATTCGTGGTGAGTTGCTGGCGATACTATCGTATTGCTTTGTGGGAAGTAGAGCAAATATTACCGTGGAAATAAGCGATAATCCGAATAAGGTGCCGTAGATGGCCTGTAATCCTTATATATACTTCGATGCATGCTGAAGGCCGAGTTTTCAGTCCAAATCATCCTCCTTATCATGCCTTACTGAACAAAATGGGACCGATTACCTGGATGTGATTCTCGGAGAAGGATCGGAAATGAGTCTCTTGCTTTTCGGATATCTCAGCTGGTAGGATGTTGAACACAAGCATTAAGGCGATACCACCTATCAGCATGCTGAAAAAGATAAAATTGGAGAGAATGCTTCCACAGGTAACCACAGGTCTTCATAATGTGTGCTACAAAATCAAAAGAGCGCAAGCTATTCAAGGGACAAGGAGCATCAAAGGTCTTAAGAATGTGGTTGCCGCAAAGGAGATGCAGACTTTTGCTTACCCTAAGAAGGAGTTTCGGAGCGGGCGATCCTATCCCTAGAAGCGAAAAGTCAGAGAGTATCTGGATATTCTCTCGCTGAGAGGGGTCCAGAGTCATTTTCTTGCTGAATTTCAGGGGACGAGAACAAGAAAGAGAAAATCGAAAAAGGAGGAAGAGAAACAAGGAAAGAGGAAGAAAAAAGGAAGGAAGAAGGAGGCTCGCGGGTTGAATGTCCTGAGATTGATATGCAGTGAGGAGTTTTCGCAATGCAAAGATCCCAGTGATACGCAAGGAGTTCTCTAGGTGCCCTCATCAGCCACTTAGCCCCTCACAAAACTGAAATTTTTGAAAGAGATTTTGCGCTACAGGTGCTCTTTCTAACGTACCTTGTGTGTCCGACGGCTGTTTCAATCCCAGAATTTGACTCGACCGTTCGTCTTGATGAATGCTCTGCCAAGTATGCTCCTTCTCCATTATTGTACACTGAATTTTCCGAAATTACAAAAGGCGTTCAGCTCGAGAGGGCATTTCATCACTCTGCCAGCTTTCGCTGGTTGCTTTTCCTAATCCGTGTCAGAAGACCCTTGTCAAACGGACTAAAGTCCTGCTGTCCCTAGCTTTACAAGAATTTACAGGTCTTCACAGGAGGCTTCGGCAGTAATCGAAGGGGAACAGCAAAATGCCCCCGCCAAGCCGAAATGCTGCACCGTTTCTACATTGTCAGAGCTTTTTACATCTGGTTTAGGTTTCATACTCAAGAGCGCGCACCGTCCAAGAGGCTTTTCCGGTAATAGGATAGGATGAAATTAATGACCGCTGTGCCTTCATCGATGGTGCGGCTATCGTTCTATTGCGGTGAAGAGCACGAAAACTCAAATGACTAAACCAGGACGTCCACGATCCCGCCCATTTCTACGCGCATCCTATTACTGCGGAGCGTGTCTTGCATACCCTCTGGTAGCGCAAATACGGGGTAGGAGCTCCCGCGGTATGCACGCTTCCCTAAGAAAAGACAGTTTCCGGAAGGAAAAAAGAAGGCTCATGCCGTTGAAGTCTCACTGATACCGTCACGTGTCGCATGACATTAACACCCCATATCCCGAAGATGAAGGGGGCGTCACTGCGTATTCAATTGAACGTGGTGACAGCTATGTATCCGGTGGTGTACTGGCGCTTTAGAGCTTTTGTACATGTCATTTCCCATCACAAAACAGAATGGTAGTTGTCTCAAGCAGAACTATCCCACGACAAACGGACACGAACTATCCCACCCCATGTTACAAATGGAGTATGCAGCCACGCCCTGACCATCACTGTGATATGACGTGTACAATACTGTTCACTGCGGATGCAGTGTCACACGAGATAGGCTTAGCGCCACGCCAGCTCATTTCTCACCATTTATTGTTGCTCTATAAAACCAGTTCTCCCTCCCCCCCCCTGAGGAACCTCAGCATTCGCAGCGGATATGACTGTACCAATGGCTACACTCAATATGCAGAGAAAAAGCTTACATGAAGCCGCTAATCCCATCAAAATTTGTGAGCCGTAGAAGTAATACGTGTTGATGTAGAAGAATCCCAGATGATAAACTGCGAAGAACACCGTGGCCAGGACAAGCATCCACTTTGATGCAAGATAATGTTGAAGTGAAGCTGTGAAAAGGCTCGATAGTGCGAACGCACTGTAGTGGATCGCCTGCCTGAAATTAAGGATTTTTTTTAAAGAACTGAAATAAGGACAGCTAGCACAGAACACAATTTTTTCCCTTGAAATCATTTAGAGCTGCTTAATTACATGATGTGACAATCTAACTGCCCACACACGAATGGCCACACAGTCACATCGACGCTAGTACTCCTACCGCTTCATTTATGGACAGGATTAGAGCATCGTTGTACTCTAGGAGGAGGGTACTTTTCACGCTCGGATTGCCAAGTGGAGTTTCGGTATTCAGAGTCCCTTGAGAGGGAAGGGGGGGGGCGGGGGCGTATGTGAATTTGAGAAGAAAATTTCTGCGTATGGGAAAACTTTTCCGGTTGGTTGAATATTGCCGTGGATTTTTTCCTTTTCTATTAAGTACTATGGACCCCCTCCCTCGCTCGCAGCTTTCAAAATTTGAATGGAGAAAAGCTAGGAAAATTCTCGGCAAATTCCGAGAAAACAGTGGTGGAAGCTAGGGAAATCTAAGAAATTTGCCCGTTTCAATTGGCTATACTACTCCCGCTCAACGGAAATTTTTGGGGTGATGAAAACCTAGACTGGAAAATGGGGAAATTTGGCTGGAGGGAGGGCGGGGTCATACCGGCAGACCCTCATTAAGATAGGAAGGGGGTCGTACTGACACCCTCTCTTGGAGGGGGGGGGGGGGGTCGTACCTACACTACCATTTCACACATCACGATACTCTAACCTGTTTATGAAGTACAACTGATACGAAGCGGACAAAAGAGTACACACATGAAACCGTATCTTAACAAAGCGGTTGCTGGCACGTTGCCAATGAGAAATTCGTCCGAAAATGCTCGTCCAATGATGTGCATAAGGCTTTTTCCGCAGTTTTTTTAACCGCTTGACTTCGCCTTTCTTCATCATTTTCCCCACTATGTACCCCTGCCAGTATTTTTGAGCAAGTACCAGATTACCGTAGTTACGCCTTCAAAAACACTATGTTATACCAACATTGTTCTGTGAAAAGCAATATGACCTTACCCATAGTATCCAGCATATCCAGATATTCTTTGTGGATCTCTCAAATGTACAGAATGAATTATCGATTCACTGATGAAGGCCTGTGTGTGATAGCCAAGGTACAGGAACAATGTACCGAAACCCAACATGTAGACCGACAGCAACTCATGGCGACGTGGGCTGAGCTGCATCTGAAACAAGCTTTTCATAAATGAGGTAAAATTTTCATAAAACCTTCACTCAAAATTAAACCCACACGAGCAGAAAAAATTGATAAAACTGTTGGGTGTTTCATAGATTGGGCCATGCATCCTACTCCACTAGCCAATTGCTCTATAGGTAATGGCGCTCTTTCTGACGGAAATGGGCAGAGTTCAGCTCGGTAGGGGCATCGTTGGAAAGAAGCGCCGTTGCTCACAGTCTAGTTCGATGCCGATGCTGGGTCGAGGTCGCTGGACCGCTTAATCCATTGGTGTAGGACCGGCTGGCAGTTGGCGCGCATACCCGTCCGCCCTGACACGCCCCAGCATGTGCAGTGAAAACGACTGTATATCTGAACAAAATAAAGACACTAAGAAAAAAGGAAGCAAACCGCCACCCCCCGACCCCATCCTTTATAGGATGACCATGATTTTTTACGGATTCATATCCGACAAAGGTGATGTCAGTGGTCACAGCATTAGCGCGACCGTTAAGTAAAAAGTGCCTTAGTCGGCGAACAATAAATTTATTGCCTCATAGACAACGGGTTTTCAGGCATTTTTACATATCAAAGACTGAATGACAAAGTAAAGGTCAAATCAGGGAACATTTTCCCTTTTCTTCGACTGAAAAATGCGTGGCCTTGGCTGGATGTAAGTTGATCACCCGGAAAGGATAAATGAACTTT